ACGCAACAACGTCCCCCCGCCGGGGCAGCGCGCGGGTCCGTAACAGAAAGCCAGGGCTCACGCGAGTGGGAAACGAGCGGGAATGTCGGCGCACGGAGACACCGGGAGGAACCCGCGGCACGCAAGAAGCCTCTCACACTAGCCCACCTCAAGGGCGCCCCGATTAGCCGGCCATCGAGCCCCCAAACAACTGCCCACGGCTTCCCGAGATGCCCAAATCTGGAGACAGCAGCAGCAGCTCCAGGTGACTCAGAAGGGCGGGACAGGATGGAGATGCCATCCCCGTTAGCCCCGGACAGGTCTCAAGGAGACTTATCTTGCCACACAAAGCTACAACCGTATTTCCTACGCAAGGGGCTCGCTTTCCAGTCTCTTCCTTCTCTTCCCCAGCTGCCAGCTCTCCCGAGAATCTAGACCACACGCACCTTTCGACCCAGCAACAAGGAGCCAGCCCAGCTCAACCTTGTGACAGGGCACAAGCCCCGAAACCTACCCCGCTCCCGTGTTCGGAACCATCAGGATTTTGGCCTGCGCTCGCGTACGTCAGGTTCATAGCCGTAACGGCTACGAGCGGACGGCCCGGGGCACGCCGTCCGCTGAACCAACATGACAAGCGCCAACCGGCAGCTCAGCCGGGCCGTGCCCGCTCTGCCGTTTAACAGCGGGGTTTGTCGGGACATCCTGCAGTACCACAGGTCAGCGGATGCTAACGGAGATGAAGGAGGGCATCAAGGCCCGTACAATCCACGCGGTTGGGCAGCCTCTGTTTCCATGCCAGAGGAGCTGAATTCAAGGCAGGAATCGTTATTTAGGGACACGCGCCTGACGTGTACACCCAGAGGCCAGGACACGCAAGCTGCGCGGGCTTCCCATCTGAGAGAGTGCAGAGACCACGAAGGCCAGGGGCATTGGACACCTGCAAACAGAGGAGTGTGGAACCACTCCAGCGGGAAGCTTGGGAGAGAGGCAGGCGGGTCCCAGTGAAGCCACTCTCGGCCAGGCCGAATGCTGGCTGCAGCCCCCGCGCCCAGGCGGGAACGCAGACGTGGCTTTGTCCTCAGGTACTACAGGACAAGGTCAGGCACCGTCGAACGGCTCGTCCTTACCTTTGTGATCTTTCAGGCTCCTGGTCTCAAGGGCTCCCGTGGAGCCAGTTTCAGACTCAACGTCTTCCACTGATGGTCTCTCAGAGATGTCTGACCGCGTCGTCTCATCCAGCTCCTGACTGGCCCTTTGCCCCGACGGTGACGCTTCCAGCAGCTGTGACGATTCCGTCGAATCGTGCATCCGGTCAGCTGCTCCCTCTGCCACAGAATCCCCATACACCGTGGCATCCAGGGATGCAGCATAGCCCAGACAAAGCGCCATTTCATCTTGAGCGATAGGTACCTGGAGGAGGGTTGGGAGGTCAGACAGGGTCCGAAGGACCACACCATCTCCCTTCTTCCACCCACGCCTCCAGCCGGCTGCTCCAGGACCGACCATCAGGGCTGGACAGCACCCATGCGCAATCGTCACTCTGCCGCAGAAACATACTGGACCGTGGCTGATCCCAAAGCATTCCACGGCACCTCCCTCACTCCCAATGGCAAGTCCAAGCCAACTCTTCAGATTCTCTACAAGGTTCCCAACCAGCTACGGCAGCAGCCTCCCCTGCCTGAACTCCCCCTGGTCCCTGCAGACCGGCGAGACACCTCCGAGGGCTCTGCCGAGCCAGTTGTCCGTGCTGGGACCTTCCCACACTGGTCCCTACAGGACAGGGTGGCTTCAGGCACGCATCCCTAGAAACTACCTCCTGGATCAGAAATACAACTCCCTAACTACCAGAGACCTTGGAAACTCCCGAGATGATCAGCGTGCTACGTTTTGTTGGGGTCTTCTTGGTGGGCTTGTTATTCGTCTCCGTGAGCTGCCTGATCGCCGTCTCGGCCACTGGATCCAAGCCGTTGGGCATAGGGCTATCCCCTGAGCATAAGAAAGACACCGGTGCTTGAGGGAGCGACCTTTCTTTGGGTCTGGAATGTTCTGGTCAACAAAGAACACCCAGAGTCACACAAGGGATAGCCAAAGCGGGGTTCCTTTTACTGCTCCCCACCCACCACCACCCCCGGCTTCGCTGGGGCAGGGCGCTCGGACACCCCCTTCTGCAGCAAAGGCAGACGGGTTCAGTGACCCACACTCAGTCGGCCCCTCCCCAGGGAAAGGTAAGGAACACAGTCGCTCCGGTAAGAGCCGCGGATTTCCAAGCACTTACGGCTATTGCCAGGCAAGGAGCTGCGAGGGCAGGGGCTCTCCAAAAGCACCGTCGTCTTCTTTTCCGTCACTTCTACCTTGGAAGGCGACCTGGATGGTGAATCTGCGTGGTGAAAGAGGGGCGGAGACAACAGTAAGTGGAGGTGAAGCTCAGGCAACTTGGGGCCCCCGACGTGCACCCCCAGAAAGCCTCAAGCACGCGCGGAGGGCCT